AGCCAACCTCAGGGGCGCAGGGAAGAAGAAGGGGAAAGATCCATCATGCAAGAGAAGTCTTTGCACTGGGTTTGTTAGGTGAATCTGGCCCAAAAAATTTTAGTGTTTGGAATTGGGTTTTAGTTACCTACCCAGCTTCCCTTTTTCTTGGAAGCACATGTCCATCAAGTGGGTAGGTTAGGAAGTTGCCTTGGGCTGAGTCAGACTGTTAAGTTGTGGGTGAACATATCAGACGACACAGTGATTCTTCAAACAGCTCTTGTTTATTCACAGGCCAGAACTGAACTGAAGGGTTCAGCCAGCCTGCTTATATAGAGCTCCGTTACAACGCAACAGTAACAACTTTCCGTAACTATCCAATCACTGAACGTCACCTTCAATTCCTTATTTGCATATGTGGACCTGAGTGAAAACTATCTACAGTATCCCCCTGCTGGCCCAGGGTGAGAACTTCAGTACATAACACAGACCATTGGTCCAGCTATCTCAGTACCGCCTACACTGACCGGCAGTGGCTGTTTGGGTTTCAGATGGGGTCATAGAATAATAGAACGGTATGGTTCTAGGCACACTGCATCAACACATACGGGAGTCCAGCACGGAACCCCCATGCAAAATGAAAACTGCCTGTACAATAATCTTATAAGTTATGTGGCACTGTGGTCTAAACCACTGAGTCTCTTGAACTTGCCGATCTGAAGGTTGGCGGTTCGAATCCCCGCAATGGGGTTAGCTCCCTTGCTCTGTCCCAGCTCCTGCCAACCTAGCAGTTTGAAAGCATGCCAGTGCAAGTAGATAAATAGGTACCGTAGTGGCAGGAAGGTAAACAGTGTTTCCGTGCACTCTGGTTTCTGCCACGGTGTCCCGTTGCACCAGAAGCAGTTTAGTCAAGCTGGCCACATGACCCGGAAAGCTGTCTGTGGACAAACGCCAGCTCCCTCAGCCTGAAAGCGAGATGAGCGCTGCAACCTCATAGTTGCCTTTGACTGGACTTAACCGTCCAGGGCTCCTTTACCTTTTGCCTTTTTACAATAATATACAACATTATTATACAGTAATAATGATAAGGGATCCATGTGTTGCCTTTCGGTTAGATCTGCTATTTTCTGTGCACGAAGCTGGGCAAAGGATTTTGAGTGCTCCAATACCTTAATTTGGATTGACCCGAGTTGTGCTTTCCACAAAGTTCGATTGCACGTAACAGAACCTGCACACCATTCTCTCGAAACGGAAGCACTTGTTGTTTTCAGCGTTCCTAAATGCCTAGCTTTGGAACAAACAGAAGATCCCCACCGTCAGGGGTGGAGGAAGGGAGGTGTTGTGGGGGCGGACTGCTCCGGGTGTCTTTGCTGAGGGGGGTGACATTTGGCGTGCTGCCCACCCTCGACTCCCAAGCCTACCCCAAGCTGTCGAGGGAAGAGGAGAGCTGTGCTGCTTTGCCGGCGGCATTCCCCCCTTCCCCCTTTATTCTGACAGCTTGGGGGAGGCTTGGGAGTCGAGGGTGGGCGGTGCGCCAAATGTCCGCCATTGGCGGCTCGTTCCACCCCTGGCTGCAGGGCACGCACGCCACTCCATGCACCCAAGTGGCTAACCCGCACCTGGGAGGGCACCATCCGTGCCCCCCCGCCCCCTCGGGAGTGTTCCCGCCCTGGGCAGCATGGGCATATGCTCTGTCCCACCTTCTTGTTCTTCCTGTACATCTTCTCTGGAGTGGCCCCAGGAGCCAATCCCCAGTGGCTGACTCACCTCCTTTCACTCTGATTGGCTCTGATCAGTTCAGATGATGAGAATACCACTTCTTCAGTGGCTAAAAATGCTCCCCTTTCGTGATGATTGGGTGACTCTAGGATGCTGGAGGCAGGGACCATGCTGCAGACGCTGGACCACCGTAGCTCTTGAGTGTGAGTCTGGGCTCATCACAATCTTTTAGCCTAACCTACCTTGCAATACTGTTCTGAAAACGAAGCACATTAAAAACCCCAACCAGTATAGTGTACGTTTGTAACAGTTCCATCGTCCCATTGTTTTGGAAGAAGCTGGATCTTGTACATCAGAAAAACCCATTTGCGGTGAAAGGTGAACAATAGTGCGTTTGACACATCATTAGCCGTACGCAGAGTATGGCTCTGCCATTAACATCAGTCCATTAAGGATAATGGGTCTACTCTGAGTAGCGCTTAGTTGGATGCCACACGCTGTCAGCAGTGTGAAATCTTAGCTGGTCCCTAACAGCCTCTTGGGCAATATCAGCAGGAAAAGGCTGGAGATGCAATTCAAATTGTTTGAAGATTAAACTTCCCTGAGTCCTTTGGAATCCCCTCCCACGCCTTCTGCCTGCTTCACAGCAGAAATGTGAGCGGCCCATAGAAAACAATGGAAAGAAATCCAGGATCTGAGCACAAGCTGTGTTCGAGCTTTCGAGTATTCTTTGCCTCTTCCAAAACAAAACAAAAGTAGAATAAACCGAAACACTTCAAAAAGACAGCATACAGAAATTTGAGCTTATGCTGGCAGGTATGATTTAAAGAAGGTTCTTAAGCGATTATTATTATTATTATTATTATTATTATTATTATTATTATCTGCTGTTCACCAGAAGGTCCTAGGGCAGGTTACAGCAATATAAAATGCAGCATTAAAAGAGGTGTTTTTTGTTTTTTTAAAAAAAATGACAGTCAGAACTAAAACAGATCCTAAAAATGTATAATCTTAAGCGTCAAAGGCCAGGAGAAAGACCTGTATCTTCAGGATACATCAAAAGCTGTACAATGAAGGTGCTCGTAGACTTGTTAGTCACTTACTATTCTAGTCCATTTTTTCCCCCGTCACGCTGGCCATGTGACCCGGAAGTGTCTTCGGACAGCGCTGGCTCCCGGCCTCTTAAGTGAGATGAGCGCACAACCCTAGAGTCGGACACGACTGGCCCGTACAGGCAGGGGTACCTTTACCTTTACCTATTCTAGTCCATTTCCCCCATGATGCAGGTTAAAAAAGAAACTTGAGGCCAATAGCCCACATGATGCGCCCTCTGTCTCTGCAGTGATTTGAATTTTGGGTCTGGCACTGATTCTGCCTTAGGCGCTGCTTACATTGGCCGATGCAGAGACCCAATTCTTACACACTGTAGTTTCGCAAGCATGTATTTTTAAAGCAACAAAACAAAGAGTCTTCTGGCACCTTAAAGACTGGGCTATAAGTAATAAAGTTGTTGTTGTTGTTGTTGTATCTGTGGCGCAATGAATCAGTGTGTCCGGCTGCCAGCCAGAAGGTTGGTACTGTAGTTTGAGCCTGCTCAGGGATGGCTGGGGCAGAATTCCCTCACTGCAGGGGGCTGAATTAGATGACCCTCTGGGTACCTTCCAATTCTGTGATTTTCTGAGTGTGCAATAATAGTGGGGTCAAATGGCCATGCCGAGTGAACTGCGGCAGTTCAATTAAACCTTAAATATTTGCAAAATAAACACAGTGACCATTCACAACAGCAGTGCTTGGTTGTTCTTGATTTGCCGTGTTAATTAATCTCTAATGGGATACAAAGCCATCGCCTCTATTCAAGCCCAAACAGATAGAATAAAACTCTGTGCTACATTCTAATTCGGCTCTTTTGCACTGGAATGTTTCCCTTTGAAATTCCTCCGGCAGACAAGGGCAATGTTCTAGTCTGCTGTGGAATGTCCTCTTGGGAAACTGAAATGCTCCCCCACTGATTTCTAAATGTAGACATTCCTTGTATCATTTTTGTGCCTGCCTATCCTTTTTTTTGCACAGAGAGACCAACATGTTTTGTCATGAGCATTGCTGGCAGGTGAGAGAGGAAGATGAGCAGCTGGACGAGTCCTTGATGTCATGGCTTAGGTTGCTGGGTCTTGTAATCATGCTACCCAATATGGGGGAGGAGGGGCAAGGCTGGCTCCAGTTAGTTGAATCTTCCGTGATTGCGTTTCTGTTGTTGCTGATAAGTAGCTGTTTTTGATTAGGACAAAATCTGTAGACAAGGACAGATCTCCTAATCCCTCTCCAGTCTCCACCACAAGGCCTATAAGAGAGAATTATTGCTGAGGGTGGGCAATGATGTCCACTGGAATGCGTTTAACTGGGATGTGGACTTAAGAACAAATGATGTTTTGTCACACCCCCACAAGGCCCCATCTGCACTTTACATTTCAAGTACAGTGGTACCTCGGGTTAAATACTTAATTCGTTCCGTTGGTCCGTTCTTAACCTGAAACTGTTCTTAACCTGAAGCACCACTTTAGCTAATGGGGCCTGCCGCTGCGCCGCCGGAGCACGATTTCTGTTCTCATCCTGAAGCAAAGTTCTTAACCCGAGGTACTATTTCTGGGTTAGCGGAGTCTGTAACCTGAAGCATATATAACCTGAAGCATATGTAACCTGAGGTACCACTGTAGTTTCATACCACTTTAAACCGTCACAGCTCCCCCCCCCCAAAGGATCCTGGGGACCATAGTTTTTTTTTAAGGGGGCTGAGAGATAGGAGACTCCCCACCCCTCACAGACTACCATTCCCAGATTTCCCTGGAAAGAGGGACTGAATAATAGAGCTGGAAGTGACCACAAGTCCAGCACTCTGCAATGCAGAAATCTTTCACGCAATGTGGGACTCGAACCCAGGACCCTGAGATTAAGAGTCTCAAGCTCTACTGAGCTATCCCTCAAGGGGATTGTCAAACCACTCTGGAATTTATAAGGGTGGTGGCAATACACTGGTCTCCTAACAACGCCCTTAACAAATTACAGTTCCCGAGATTAATTGGGGAACAGCTATGATTATTTATAGCAATATAATACTGCTTCGTCGGTATAGTGCATATGGGATCACAAAGCCGGTTCCTGGTCCTTTTCATGTTATGTTATAAAATAATACCCTTTTCTGATTATAAGGCAGCTGAGAATTGTTAGGCGGCCCTTTATCCCCGCACCGAGCTATAGTACCCGCAGTTTCCTAGGAAGACGAATTGATTGTTAACCCGCTCCGATAGCTAGTAAATTAGCACATGCGAACTGTATGCAAATTCGAGCTGCGGGCATGTGCCCCTCCTCCCTCCCAGCCCTTCAAGGACTTAGGACTAGGTAAAGAAGGAGCTGCTTGGATCTTAACCATACAGTACACCGAAAAATGAAAAGCACGCTGGAGAAAACTCCCCGGGTGGACCTGGGTCAGCGCGAACCAAAGCGTCTGCTCGGGGCCGGCACTGTCAGCTCTGAACTCGGCTTGTTAAGAGATCAAGGGCTTCGGCCGGCTCGCAGGCAAAGTGCCCGGGGAAGCGCGCGCAGGAGCTCCTTGGAGAGGCCGGGCGGGACAAGCGCGGACAAGACGGGATGAAAGCGCAGCAGCGGAGGGGGCTGGAGACGCGGTGCAGGTATGAGCGCGCGAGGCGCGCGTCGGGGAGCCTTTTGCACGCGCCGCTGGCTGTTCCTTTGGCACGGAGGCGCAAAGCTCTCCTGGCTGGGCTGGGGCAAGTCGTAACTCTGGGCCCGCGCGCGTCACTGGGTAGCCAATTTTAAGGCGTCCCTTTTCCTGTTCCTGGCGGAAAGGACTGCGCTTCTGAAGAATGCTTTGCTTTTGTGCCGCATGGTTCAATCCTTCAAAGCGCTTCACAGCTCTTGTATAAATCATTCACCTCGGCTTTTTCTTCATCTTCTTTCATTAAAAAAACACAGAAACTCAAACGGATCCCTGGAAGACGGATGGGCTGGTGTCAATGGCAGATGGGTGCAAGTGAGAAACGAGAGTTCAAAAGAAGGAGATGACGCAGCAGGGCGGTGTGTGTGGTGCCCGTCACCCCGCACCCCATATGCAATTTAAAATAAAAACAAATCTAAACTGTAAAATTACTTAATTTTTTTAAATGATGCAAAACTTAAAGGTATGCTGAAATTAATATAACTTCTTTCTGGATGTCTACTTTGATGCTTAAAAAATAATCAAACGTACACACACACACACACACACACACACATATAAAAACCCCAACCTATTTTTGTGTACATGCCTTTGCTTTCTGGGTGCCCTAACCACGTGCCTCAACTGCCTACTGAGTAGTCCTGCTGGTGCTGATGTAGTGAAGGCCACCGATGACTTGGAAGGTGGAAAAGGCAAATCCAAGATGCAACATGCCTTCCTCCTCTAAAAAGGAATTATTTTCAGGCCCGAGTTTATCTGTGAGGAGGAGGAAGAGCCTTATTTCACGGGGACTGTACTGGAAAAATTTTGCTCATTGCAAAAATGCTGCTATCGCTAAGAAGCAACCAGCCTATATCACGGCCTCCTGCCCTCTCCCCACCATCTGTTGTAATAAATGTCAGACATATCAATTAGGCACCCACAGCGTACATTTAAAGGACTCTTATAAGAGTCATGGAGAGAATCCTGGGCATTGTAGTTTAAGGATACTTGGAACTGTAGGTTTGTAAGCTCAACACCAGGCTTCCTCAACTTGGCCCTCCAGATGTTTTGAGACTACAGTTCCCATCACCCCTTAGCACTGGTCCTGCTAGCTAGGGATCATGGGAGTTGTAGGCCAAAAACATCTGGAGGGCTGAGTTTGAGGAAGCCTGCTCAACACCCTTCACAAACTGCATCTCCCAGGATTCTTTTGGGGGAAGTCAGGATTGTTAAAGTGGTAGAAGAATGCTTTAAATGTATGGTGTAGGTGTGGATTTATACCTAGCCAGATGGGTGGGGTATAAACAATAAATGTTGTTGTTGTTGTTGTTGTTGTTGTATTTGCGCTAACCAAGGCAGCAGGGGGGAGAGCGCAACTCCATGGAAAATAGGGATGGGAAGTTGCTAAAAATAAGAAAAGACGAAATCCTTTTTCGATTGTATATGTTAAAACTTAATAAAACGTAATGGGGGAAATGGAGAAAGCATCGCTCGGCATGTCAGAGCATGTGGGTGCTGCCATCCCAGGGCAGGGAACAAGATCTAGCTCGGGCTCTGTGACCCTAAATGATGTTGGAACTGCTGGTACCATCACCGCAGACCGGCATTGGCCATGCAGCTGGTGGGAGAGGCTCCCTGTGCCTGATCTAGCTCCTCCCGGTCCATCACTGGATCACCTTCCCCACCACCTAGCAGCTGGCTGGAACTCTGCGCAGTCCTGCAAAACCTTCCCTCCGCCCAGAGGACTCGCTCCAATGAGACGTTGCATGAGCCCTGACCGTTTTAAAGTATCTGCAACATGAGAGAGACGCAGCAGCCCAAGCGGAAAGCTCCCATAGGTGGATTGCATTCCATGCCTCCGCTGGGGGCGGTGGGGGAGGGAATAAAATAAAAATAAATCTGACTTCATTCAGTAGCAATCAGCAGCCCCACGTGACCCCCCAGGAAGATGACATCACCCTCATTCTAACCGCTCTCTTTCCCCACTTCCCCGTTATTTTAAAGGGGCAGCGGGAAATTGCGTCCTCCTGTCTGTTTACTTTAGGAGGTATTTTGCTGCTATTTCACGGGCTAGATTCAGCCACATACCGGCAAACTCCAGGCGAAGAACTACAGTGGATTTCGTGCTCCTGAGAAGCAAAGTCGCTTCCCTCCAACAGATCAGACTTTTTTTTGCGATAAGGAGTGCCATGAGATAAATGCACTGGAAAACGATGTCCTATTATAATATATAGTCTCCCTGAATGAATGTTTCAATAAACGTCGTCGGGACAGCGGGTGGCATCCCACTAAGCTTGCCTCAGAGTAGATCCGTAATAATTAAGGTCCCATTTCAGACACAACCCCCGCCCCAGGCCACGCACCTGCCTACTGCAAGCCCCAACGCGCTTACCACTGGTGCGCACTGCCTCCCTTGAAGCGTAAAAGCAGCGCCATGCAGCCGCGCTTTCCCCCCCAAGGCTGAATTTGTCATGCAGCTGGCTTAATACACGAGCTCCCTCTCGTGGCTGCTGCCTGCCTGTTTTCTAACCCAGCCCCTTACTATCTCGATTTTTGCCCGCAAAACCCAGGCAGGAGAGCGTCTCACTGAGCACCCCCATTGCAAACCTCTAGCAAAAGAGACCAAGACCCTGTTCCCAGAGAGGGGCTCCTCTTCCTGTGCTTTTGACAAATATACCCGGCTGGGAGAGCAATAAACAGGTGATGGAGGCGATCTGTGGCTTTCTGTTGATCTCCAACTCCCATTTCCCTCTGCCGATATGGACACCACAACCACCAGGGGCAATTATTTTGTATAATAGAGGTGGCTTCACAGCAACTCTGGGGAGCTGAGAATGAGAGGCCCCGCCTTCCACCCCTTTCGTTTCTACATTGCTTTCCTCCCTCTCATGCAGATGTTGAAACTACAACTCCCATCGTCCCCGCCCGTTGCCAATGCTAGTTGGGGCTGATGGGAGTTGTAGGTCTAATAACACCTGGGAGGCTGCAGGTTTCTCATCCTTCGAATTGTTGCTAGATGCAGCCTCGAGGACTCCCGAATTTCATACCGTTAAAGAAGCTGGGCCCCACCCGCTCTCTTTGCCGAGTGGTAGCAAAAATCCTAGGTGGTTCCAGGGGTCTGTGCTCCTTTGGAGAACTGAAGATGCAGCGGAGGCTGTTGTAGTTTTCAGAAATATGATTTATTCACGTATTTTCACTTTCAGTCTGCATGGAGGGAGTCTAGAACTTACAGCTCGGTCGTCTCAAGGGGAGCTTGCAATGCAGGGGTCTTTTGCCCAATGTGGTCAACACCTCTGTGCCATTCCGTTGTCAGCCTGGCGGAGAGAACGCAGGATGGTTGGGATCAGGGATGGGGAAAACCGGTGCCCCCCTCCAGATGTTAAGGGGAGGAAAGCAACGTTGAAAGGAAAGTATCCTTAACAAATGAGGGGAGGCAGGCTACCTCTAATACCCAGGGTGATGGGTTTAGTGATGAATAGAGCGAACAGCCTTGGAGGCGGGGAAGGAAGGAGATGGTCCTTAGGGCCTCTGACCTCACTGGTATTCCTCGCGGTTGCAAAACGCTAAAGTAGCTCTGGCTGTCGCACTCTCCAGGTGTTGTGGGACTACAACTCCCATCAGCCCCAGCAGGCGGTTGGCCAAAGCTCACGGATGATGGGATTGTAGATTGTAGATAAAACCTCATGGGGCGGTTTGCAAAAAAAATAAAAAAATAAAAATCAATCAATAAAATCATCACGCACAAAAAATTGCAGCCATAATTTAAAAACCGTACAGAAGGTTTAAAACCACAATAAAATTAGACCAAAACGAATGAAAACTCGTGCAATTTTTCTAAGCATCCAGGCACACTTAATTAAATAAGAATATTTTCGGCAGGCGCCGAGAAGTGTGCAGTAGAGGAGTCTGCCTGTTATCAATGGGCAGGGAGTTCCAAAGTCCAGGTGCTTGGAGCCTTACTGCACATCTGGAGGGCTGGGTAAGGCTGCGCCAAGACTAGCAGGAAAGTTCACTTAGTCCCATGTAAGTAATCCTACATTGCGCGTGGGCCATTGAATTTAATGGGGCTTTGCATCCGAGAGAGCACTTTCAGGGCTGCGCTGCAAAATCCACATTTATTTACTTATTTCTCCCTTTCACCTTCCCCGCATCGAATGGGTTAATTCCTACGCGCGTGCGCAAGGCCTCCCCACGGCGCGGCAGCTGCCTTTCTCGCGCAAGCGCGGCAACACGACTCGGAAAGCCGCCCAGGCCGCGGTCTGCCAGACGGGCATGCGCGGCGCGCCGGCCGCCGAGACCCTTCTCCGTCACCCGCCCATGCGCAGAGCAGAGTTTCAAATAGCTTCGCCTTCGCCGTCGAGGCTCTAACGGCGCACGCGCAAGAGGGGACGAGCGCTGAGCGGGCAGGCCCCGCCTGCTTTCCCTGTCTGCGCTTGCGCAGCGAGGGTCCTGTGGCTAGAGGGGACCGGGCTGCCCCTCCCCAAATCCGGAGGAACCGGTGAGTGTTGGGTGTGCGTGTGTGCGCCCGCCCGGTGCATTATGGGAAAGGGGCAGATTTTTTTATTTGTTTGCCTGCCCTCCCCCTATGGTCCTTAATACCCCCCACCCCTCCAGTCGCAGTGCAGCATGGGATTGTGGGCTCCTCTTGTGGTCCATGGAGCCCCAGAGCATTATGGGGACTGAACTCAGCTCTGTTCCATTCCTGGGGCCTGGGGCTGACCTCTGCTCTCCCAGAGCATTATGGGAGCGGTCCATACAGTGTCAGTCCCAGTGCATTGTGGGATAGGTCTCCCCTTGAGACCCCCACTCTTTCCCTCCTCCTCCTGTGTTCTCTGGGGGTCTCTCATTCTCCCCCTCCCTACCCCGCAAATCCCCCAGGCCCCCAGTGCCTCCATCCATGCCCGTGCCAGGCATTTATAACTAGTTCTGCTCCTCTTCCAGGTTTGGGCTGCTGGCATTAAGGGGTGATGTCTGAAGTACCCAAGCATGTGGAAGCTGGGAGCTCAGAGGACATTGGCTTTGAGGAGGAGAAGGAGGAGGGGACTTCGACCGGTGAGCAAAGTGTAGTGAGCCACGAGGGAGAAGGCCCGTTTGCTTTGAGTGGGTGGGAGGGGAGGGCATGGGGGTGCTTGAGTTTCCCTCCCTCCTGCCAGCAGGCCTGTGTGGTCAGGTAGAGGGAGCCTTGGTTTGTACGTAGGAGCCAGACCCACTGCGCTAGGGGGACTGGGAGCATAATATAATTCTTCCAGGGAGTTGGCCCTTCCCTGCCAACTCACAGATTTGCTGGCCCGCCTAAGCAAAGCAACAATTGATTTACCTCCAAGGGCTGCCCTGAGAGTAGTAAGTCTCCGTTCGCATGAGAGGGCTGGATGTTAGCATCCTGTAGAGCTAGGCTGCATAGGGTTTGGTGTTACCGTTAACTTTCTCACTGGCTGCAGTTGTTTCAGCAGGGCGCTAGGGGGTGGTATCCTACAAGAAAGGGCCCAGGCAGCTGCAGAACATTTAGGAGAACATTTGTCCCACTCTCTAACCATGGTACTGCTGAGTACTAAGCATTTGTTTGTTTTCATAGTAGGTATGATCCTCACCCACCCACACCCCACCTGTTAATGGGCTATTCTTGGATTGGCTCCCAAGAGCTGAGTAGCACAGCTGTTTAAATAAGCCTGTTGAAGCTACTAGTATTTTGTTAGTAGTCTACTGGAGTGGTTTGTGTCTCCATTCTGGCTGTAGAGCAGAGGAGGTGCCTTCTTGTGCTGGCAGCATGGAAAGTGCAGAATAGTAGCTTCTTAGCAGACTGTGGGGCACGGGGGGGCTGCGGGGGAAAGAAAAGCCTTCTACCAAGTGGGTTCGTGGAGAAGGGGCAGAGTATAAGGCTGTCAGAGGTAGTATCCATCCCACTTGCAAGAAACCTTGGAAGGGGAGAGTGCTCTTGTGCTTGGATCCTTCTCCTTGGTTTCCCATAGCCATGTGGTAGGCCATTGTGAGAACAGGATATTGGGCTAGATGGGCTCTCTGTATATTATATTCTCTCAGTCTATAGACCTCTTGGCCTTGAAATCCCAGTTCCCAATTGAAAGGTGACATTTGTGGAGCAGGACTAGGCACTGAGGAGGAGATACTTGTCTTTATGGTGATCTCTTCTGCATGGCTGGCAGTGGTGCCATGTGTTCATGGCAGTGCTCAATTTGTGGCCAGCCTCTATAGCATACAGATATATGATCTTCTTGGTTCATTGTGAGCTCTCTTTGACCAAAATCATCATTTTGATTCATTATTTAGGCATATTATATTACCATGGAGCTTAGGGTGGGCTTAAAAAAGAAAAGAAATATATGCAATAACCCAACAACAAACTTGCAAAGGAAGGTGTAAGTGAATGAAGCTTCACAGATGATGAGGGTTTTGAATTCGGGTCCCTCTCTCTCTTCCCCCCTTCTCCTCCCAGTCTAAACACAGCAGTTGAGCCACACTGTCTGCTCATCCATCCTATGTCAGGGACCCAGTTCAGACATCTAGAACTTGTAAAAAGGCAGTTGCAGAATATACACATTTCTCTTGGAAACTTGTGCAAGCCTGAGCATCATTCAGGAGTGGAAAACTCTTGTGAGACCTTTTGATGGGCTTTCATTTATGATGGCTAGCCTTTCAGTGGAATGAGGGTTCAGGCAAGGTTGTGTGTCTTTCTTAGTTCTGCACAAGCACACGGAAAGTGTGACAGTGGGAACTAGACACAGATTTTAGTGTTCTCAGTCTTGGCTATATTCTTTCTATTTTTAAAAAGAAGAAGAGGAACAAATTTCTAGTCCCTAAGGTTGAGAACATGGCCTTGGAAGTGTCTTTTGTCCTGGGGAGCCCTGCCTTAAAACCTTAAGCTCACAAAATGGTCTCGGCCTCAGTTTGCCACCTGCAAAATAGACATGGGTGTAGCCTGAGTTGATTCAAGGGGTGTTGAGTACCTTGACTACTTATTTTGGTCAATATCCTACTTCATTGTAAAGGTGGGTAATGTGTTACACAAAGGAGCTGCATTTTTAAGAATATATTTTGAAGGTACAACATTTTAAATGAGACCTTTGGTGGATAAAGTTACATTATATCTATATAAATAGGTACATGAAACATATTTGAGGTTTCAAAAGAGTAGTTAGTTCATGAGGGATGTGGAGCTATGTGTGTGGAAAGGGGAGGGAAGGTGGAGATAGAAAATCATTAATGGATTGGGATATTTGGGATGAGTCCTTACTTTTGAATGCATCTGTATTCAAGCCTCCTCTGATGATGAATTAGCCTAGAGCTGTCTGAGGTTCTGCCAGTTATGGACTGTGATTCTTCTAGGTGTCTCCACCATGCACGAGGAAGAGGATGAATCTGAAGCTACATCCGTATCTTCCGGAGACAGCAGCCCCCCTACCCCATCAGCCCAAAGCCTTCCAGGTACAAGGACATGAAAACGTCATATCACAAAGCAAGCTTTCCCTGTAGCAAAATGGCTGAACTAGACTGTTAAAGGGGGATCTTGTGTTGGAGCTGGGGCTCAATTTGAGTCTGGATTTAGCCACCCGTTTGCAGTGCCAGGGATTCAGCTCAGGAGCCTCATGCTGGTCATGAAGAAAGCACCTCTGAGCATTTCAGGAGTGCATTTCCAACACCGCTAACTGTAGCCCTTGCCATCCTTGCACATTTTAGAGGAGTTAGCAGAATTTCTGGATTACAGGGTGTGGCTTTCAGGCTGCCTTTGAGCCCCAGAACTTCCCCAGCCCCGGGATTTGACTTCCCCCACCCGCTCTGAATGATAGAAGCTGATATGCAATAAAATAAAATAAATATTAGGCAAATGGGAAGAACTTTCCCTGCTCTATTGCTGTAACTCCGAAACTTGGAGGTGTTGTTGTCTGTACCTCACTGCATTTCCCCCCTTCCTCTGCCTCTTTTAATAGGCCCCCGGAGCAAAGAGCCGCAGGCGACAGTCGGGGAGCCGGTGGACGATGGCGGAGAGGTTGGGCAGGATCAGCTGAGCTCTTCGCTGGCTCCCAGCCCTGAGTGGCACGAATGCCCCGAATGCGGCCGTGGCTTCGGCACTTCGCGCGCCCTGAAGGTGCACCGCAGCTACCACGAGGGGCGCAAGCGGCCACACAGCGGCTCCTCTTCCTCCAAACAGCCACCGCCTCTGATCCTGCCCAGTAACCCCAACAACCAGGAAGGGCGAGCAGCCCCCACCTCTGGCCGGGGCCGAGTTTTTCACTACATATGTGCCGAGTGCGGCCTGGGCTTTGCCTCCCCGGCCACCCTGGAGGGCCATCGCTGCGAACACGGCTGGTGCTGGAGCCCCCCGCCCGCTCCCCATAACAAGCTCCCCCCCTCCCCCACCCTGAGGGAGGCCAACGGGGACCAGGACACAGATGGGGCCGACGGACCGTACCACTGCACCGAGTGCCCGGGGGAGTTTGGCTTGGTGTCAGAACTTCACGAGCACTACATGCTCCATGCCCGAGGAGAGCTGTAGATCACATCTTTTCTGCCCCTCCCCAACCCCACTCCCTAATCTAATCAGTGGCGCCTGCCGAGGGATCTGTCTGGCCAGGACTCTGGGAGAGAAGTGAAACCTCCTTCATTTTTTTATTTTTTGAGGTCCTCTTAGTTTCATTCTATTTTTCTAAAATGAATTTAGCAGGAGGAGAGGAGAGTTGGGAGGGTACGCGGTTGCTTCGGAGCAATCCCTCCTGCTTGCCCTGCCTCCTCAGAGTAAGTGTAGCAAACGCAGGAGCCCCCTGCCCACCTGCAGGGAAGGGAGCTGTTGCCTTCTCCCTGCCCCCACAGAGAGGAGCTATCTACAGGTGTGGCGCCTGTATGTCCTAGCTAATTATTCCCCAAAGGGAGCCCATGTCAATGGGCTTTTTGCAATGGAAGCACTAAGCAGTATTGGGCGTGTTGCTCATTCTTAAACAATTGAACCAGGAGAGATTTTATTCCAGGCCTATCTCAAGGTTGAGGGAGGAGGAAGGGGCTGGGTTAGAAAGGCATGTCCTGTGCACAAGGGTCCTGCATCCCTGCTGCCCACCCTCTTACTGTGTAGACAGTCCCCTCCCCAATTTAGGTGCCCATCCTCTCGCTCGTCACCATCTTTGGCACCTGGGTGGTCCATGCTGAACCGAAGCTGTGTTCCGTCTGTCTCTGTGTGTGCGTGTGCGTGTGTTTGGCTTTTCAAAGAGAGCGGCTTCTAGAGACGGCATCCATTCAGCATCAATCATGAATATTAACAACCTCTCTTTGCAGTAGCTGGGAGAGTCGGTTTAATAAAAGTGATTCTGTATGTGTGACTTCTCACTGTGCCCATCTCTCTCTTCGTGAATGGGGGAAGCTCAATGGCACTGGATTTGGCTGCAGAGATGGATGAGGGGCTATTTCAGTTGCAGGGGAACTCTTTGACCCTCCAGGTGTTGGCTGAATGGCAACTCTCATCAGCCCCAGCAAGCATAGCCAGGGACGAAGATAGTTGTAATCATCCCTTTCCACTGGCCATGCTGGCTGGGGCTGATGGGAATTGGAGTCCAACACTATTTAGAGGTCCCCAATCCCTGCTAGAGAAGCAACTAGAGCACCATGCAGCCTTAAAGTCCAGTTCCTGTTGAAAGCTGATTTTGGAGTAGCCAAAAGTACAGGGAGAAGACACAGAAGCGAAGGGACGTTTACATACCACCAGTAAAAATGCTACCATCAATGCATGGAATCTAAGCGACAGAACACAAAAAGGAAAAGAGATGGGGACAGAAGAGGAACAATTTCAACTCACGCACCAATTCTTAAGTTAAATAGTAGCTGGAATTGGGAACAGAGGAGCCAAATGGAACTGGTCTCCAGCAAAACTGATGGAGCCCTCATTCCCTTTATTCCATCTGCTGCAGCCTGATGGCATAGCTGCTGCCAGGTGACAGTTGAGGGAGAAGCTAAATAGATCTGTAGTATAGCTTAGGAGCTACCGTTCTGCCATATGTGTGGTGGTTTAGCTCTGTTAAGAAAGATGAACACGCTTGTCTCGTGCACTTGAAGCACATATTAGGAAATAGCTGTGTTGCTTTGGCATAGTTCCCAGGTAGCTCTCGATACAGAATGAACTCACTCCTTTATTTTTAAGTTTTCAAAAAAGCACTGAAACTGTTGGGCAAACATTTCCTTCTGTCAGGATCTGTTAATTCAGACGCACATATTTACAGCTCTGTTGGGTGGCAAATCCCTTCACTAAATACTATATCCTTAAATACTTTAATACTATATCCTATATACTTCCTGTCAAGCGAGTCCCAGTATGTGGGATTTCACAAGTAAATTTGCATAGCTAGGGATGATGGGAGTTGTAGGCTTTCCTCCTCCCTGCTCTATAGCTATACCTTGAAAGTTTGCAAGGCTGTCTCAAGAGTGATTTGTTTCTCCAGATTACCCAGATTTTCATGAGACTTCCATCATTCCAGTTCCTTATTCTAGACAGCAACTTCAGTTTTCAGAATAGGTATGACAAACAAAATACCACTTAAAATATTATTATTTTAAAAAAACATTGCTTTTTGGTGCTGCCTTCAATTGTTTTTAACAAACAACCAAACAATGTATTGTTAATTGTGAACCAAAACGGATTTAAATCTGCTCAGTTCTGCCTTCATTATAAAACATGTTCTGGTTTCACCCATTGCTGGGTAGAACAAGCAGCTAGCTGCTGGCTTACATGAAGAACCACGCGGTTGGCCACAGTGAGAACAGGATGCTGGGCTCCGATGGACCATTTGCCTGATCCAGCAGAGCTCTTCTGTTAGGAAGTGGACTCTGTCTCCTGGAAGCTCATGCCACAATAAAAAACACTTGTTGGTCTTTCAAGGCACCACAAGACTTGTTGATTTTGATGCCAACAGTCCTAACACATCTAACCCCTCTGGAAATTGTTTACCATGTAAGACGGGGTATAATGATGAGGACGACTATTAAATACTTTTCTACTCGCTCCCGAAACGAGCAATCATGCAATTTGTGGAAAGTGTGAGAACCCTCATCATCATCTCACGGTCCGCCCCCTGTGTGTATGTGAATGAAAACGGGGGCTAAAATAAGAGAAAGTTGCATGGTAGAGCTGCCCTGGCTTTGGCACGGCAGTAGGAACGACCAGGCAGAATTTCAGCCGGTGAAGATTTCCTTCCTATCCGCAGCTTTGGCCAAAGCTTCACCTGCTGAACATCTTCCCGTTATGCTTGCTATTAAAAGCGCAGAGCTGGCCTCGGCTAACCAAGCCAGCGCATGCGCCCCGCAATCTCAGCCCTCCACTTCGCGGCTGGGATCGGAAGCAGGAAAGAACATGCGCATAAGCCCCCTTTTTTCAACAAAGCGATGGAAATCTATGGTCGGCCACCATACACTGTCTTAGACGAATCGGAGGCGGCCTCATGGAGGTGGCTGCGCTTGCCCTATATCTCTATGGTAAAAGAGCCTTCCCACCTATCGTCATTTTGGTTATTTGGACGCATCGCGCCGCTTACGTCGCACTAGGGCTGCCTAAAATATTGCCTGAAAAAATAATCACGGAGTGTGCCCGTCTAGGGACCACAGAGGGGTAACTGCGCGAAGGCTCCCCAGTCGCAGTCTATTCCTGTATCTGTGCCACGAATAAAAAGCTGCGGCGGCAACGAGATAAAAGTATGCGCATGGATATTAGTCAGGCGGATGTTTAGACATCACTCTGCAGGAAATTGGCGAGGAGGAGGAAGGTCCCCGGAAGCAGGGGAAAAAACACAGTGTGGGGAAGAAAAAGAAACGTAGAGAAAGGTGACGGTTGAGATGTGCATTTTTATTTTTTCGCGTTGACAGGGGAGCCGAGCGGGCCTTTTCGAGAGAGGCTTTTCGTTGTTTCTTAAGGGCCGGGAGTGGAGAGATGGCAGAGGGAAGAGCCTGAGGAGGAGCTGGAACAGTCGAGGGACTGGCGAGAGGTGAAGGTGGGAGACCTGACCGCGGGCGGAGGGAGGGAGAGAGGTTGCTCTGGGCGTAGGTGGGGAGGGGGCGCCGCTAGCCCTGAGGAGGGGCTGGGAGCCTATGGTCGCCACAGCAGGCCATTCGGGGACTCTAGCTCCCCATGGCTGGGGATTGTGGGAGTTGTAGTCCCACGGGGGCTCTTCCCCCTCCCGGCTCGGTGGAGGTGATATTGTGGGGCTAGGGGTGAGGTGGGCGCTTTTGCGGGAGGGAGGAGGCTGTTCTTAGGAGACGGTCAGCGAGGAGGAAATGTTGGGGGCGGGCCCAGATGTATAGCACTTTATTAGTTAAAACAAGCTTTCAAGCCACGTTGGGTGGTTGTTGTGTATTTATTAGCATGTTATATATTTTCATGTTTTTGGTTCGTAAAGCACCATGTGATCCTTGGATGAAGTGTGTTATAGAAATATAATAAATAATACGATGGTGATGATGATTACCAAAAACCTGGTAAGCTGGTCCATGAAACAAGTAGTAATAGCCTCTTAGAATGTCTTTTGCTAGCACAATGGCGGTCTTAAAAAAGCAACAACTGTACACTTGTGCATGTATTTTTCCTTGGAAGACAACACTTTCAGTAATGTTTGCAAAGAAATAGCAACAACAAGAGTCCGCCTATCTTCTAGTTTACAGGTGCCTCTTCACTTGGTTGACCTGAAACAGTATGTTGAAAAAAGCTGCTTCGCTAACTGCTGTTTACATTTCCTGGAAGCAGAAGCTATGAGGAGCATCTCCTTTAAAAAGGAGTGCATCACACATGGGCATAACCTGAGTTGTGTATGAGGAAGGGAGCCAAGAGGGATTGGGGTTTTTGCTCACAACTTGGTTTCATTCTTACAGGTAGCAATGGCTGACTCTTCTGCAGTCAGTACGCCACTGTTGACTGAACATCTTCTTACAAAGGTGTCGGACTGCAATGGGCTTGATGTTTCAATAGTTCAGGAGCATCCAACAATCTGTAAGCCAGAGCCTATCTGTGTAGAGGAGGTGAGCTCCACAATGCTGCCCCCTGTCTGCCCAGGCACAAATGACAGAGAAAAAGGACCCCCTAGCAATAGTTCAATCTGTGAGTACTATGGTTTTGTTTTTGCTTTTAGAATTTAAACGATTCTCCAGCTGGTGAAAGAGAGTTTCTAGCACCCTGTTATAAACAACTATTAAAAAGCTGCATTAGAAGTCATAATCTTCCTTTTAGCATGTTTCTCTGCCAGCATTCTGAAATGCGAACAAGGATGTGACTGCATGGCATCGTGAGACACAGGTTTTCTGCTTGGCACCATTTGCAATGCAGACAGCGAGCTGTAGGTCTATGCATGCAACCCAATGTATTGCCCAGGTTCTGCAGTTTCTTAGCTTTCATTAAAAAATGAGGGGAAAGCTTCTAGCTCTCATGACTATAGAGGAAAATCTTAAAAACTGCTACTTAATTTAATGCTCACTTTCAGGTAAGTAACCACTGCCTCTAGGTGAGGAATGCCTGTCCACTTTTTATCGCCTATTCATCCTGATAGTTTGCATGTGAGGCCCATCTCCTAATCAACTCTTCATTCTCCCTTTATCCCTGCTGGGGAACAGCCAAAGTGTTCCACAGTGATTACTTGACTGGAGAAACACAACAGTGTGTAAAGGCAACTGCTGCTTGGTATCTCCCCTCTCCCCACTTCTGCTATCAGATGTCACACTTCATCAACAGCTGATGAAGGAGAGTGTAGCTTCTGCAACCACCTCCTCAATAGTTTGTGTACAATGCTGACTTAAGCCCACATAGCTTGCATAGTCCAAAGGTTGTGAGAATGAATAGTGTCCTGCTGATGAAAAACTGATTGCCAGGAAGGCAGACTTTTCATGGCATTCTCTCCACCTGTTTCTCCTTCTCTTCAGGGAGGTTCTGCAAAGTAAGCTGCAGGTTTTCCAGGCCTTGCTTGATTCCCTTCTGTTTCTCTTCATCCCCAGACAGCCTGGGTGCCAATCAGTGTTTTCACTGCCTGATCACCTTCCCAGATGAGAAGTTCAAGGAGCGGCACATGAAGCGGGAACACCCGGAGGACTTCGTTCAGGCCAATCTGCGTGATGCTCTTTTTGTCTGCTTCATATGTAACAAGGCCTTTGAGAGTTCACGTGCGCTCATCTGCCACCAGCGGGGCCATGCGCCAGCCCCGCCCTCCGACTCTACTGACTCCTTGCGCCCTACCTTTGACTGCCATGACTGTGGCCGCCGCTTCAGCCAGTTGGCCAACTACCAGCGTCACCGCCTGGGCCATGCCGCGGGCCACAGCTTGCCTCACCAGTGTCCGGACTGTGGCAAGAGCTTCCGACAGCTTTCAAACTTGCGCCGGCACCAGGCTTTCCACCAGCAGACCCAGGAGTTGCTGCCCTCCCTCCCCTATTCCTGCATGGACTGTGGGGAGAGCTTTAACCAGGAGGCTGGGCTGCATGAACACTACATCCGCCATGCCCGCGGGGAGCTCTAATATAAGCTGTAGCTTCGTATCTATTCCCTGGATCCAGATGGAGGCAGGAAGATGACAGGCATTGCTGTGTGAGATGCAGAGCCAGAATGAGACAAGGAACAGGATTGATGGGTCCTTTCTGGTTCAGAAACAGAAGGGGGAAGCCGCTATTTTTAGGAGGTGTCACATCTGGTTTTGCTCCAGCCAGGAAGAATAGTTGGTAAAGGGATATATACAAAGCTGTATTTTCCTTATAGGAAGTGCTGTCTCCATAGAGTGAGGATAACTGAAGGACCAAGGATGGGAATATTCACTTTTAGGAGATGCTGACTTCCACCTAGTTCATGGGAAGATTTGCTACTGGTCAAAGGGGTGGGAAGCTTCCGTCAGTATTTTGCCTTTTCTAGATGCTCGGCTGTCATGAAGGGCACACTTTTTGCACTCCCACCTGCCCAAGCTTGGAATTTCTGGGTAGCCTTGCAGAGAACCTGCCTGCTTCCTGCAGAAGGTTGGGAAGAGTTAACAGTTTGAGGCTGCAGAGTAGAAGTTAAGTCAGCTGATTAAACCCTACAAGTGCTTTTTAATAGGGAAAGGAGAATTCAAGTGAGAATATTCTCTTGCTTTTTAAACCTGAACTATACACAGCTTTGGGTTTGAGCCAACCCCTTCAGTTGTGAGTACAGTGATACCTCGGGTTACATACGCTTCAGGTTACATATGCTTCAGGTTACACACTCCGCTAACCCAGAAATAGTGCTTCAGGTTAAGAACTTTGCTTCAGGATAAGAACAGAAATCGTGCTCCGGCGGCGTGGCAGCAGCGGGAGGCCCCATTAGCTAAAGTGGTGCTTCAGGTTAAGAACAGTTTCAGGTTAAGAACGGACCTCCGGAACGAATTAAGTACTTAACCCAAGGTACCACTGTATCCTGATTGGATTCTCTACTCAAGTGAGAGTGTGGCTGATTGGGAGGCAGAATACCAGTATTTTTTTCTTCTTCCTGGGGGTACTTGAGGGTACGCAGTACTTGCACCTTTTCCTAGAAGAAAAGCACTGGTTAAAAACATGGCACTTTCTGTAACAACTTCATGGTGAATACTGGCACCTTTTTAAAAAAAAAGAAGAAAAGCACTGCAGAAGACAATATAAATTACGTTCTACAGCTCTGTGTACAATACCAGAAGCACCTCTTAGGCTCTCAATAGGACAGCAGTGGAGAATCTTTTTCCTGTTGATGGCTGCATTCCCTTGAGGGAGGCAGAGTCAAAAGTGGGCAGGGCCACCTCTTCTCTCCTTCCTTTTCCTTCCCCACCCAGCAGGCTGCTGGGGGAAGTACATATCTGTGCTTCCCAGAGATCTGAGCCAGTGTCTTGCAGAGTCTCTCTGCTACCTCCATCCATTTCAGCCTTCCTTCTGTATTTTTCCCCTTCCTGCCCCCTTTCTCCAGACATTAGGCTGCATGATACTGTGCTGAAGTCCGCTGATTACCCACTCCGGCAGGAAGGTAAACGGCGTTTCCGTGCACTGCTCTGGTTTGCCAGAAGCGGCTTAAGTTATGCTGGCCACATGACCGGAAGCTGTATGCCGGCTCCCTTGGCCAGTAAAGCGAGATGAGCACCGCAACCCCAGAGTCGTCCGCGACTGGACCTAATGGTCAGGGGTCCCTTTACCTTTTACCCTTTCCCCATCCCCCTCCTTGTCCCTTGGGGAAAATATATGTCTTGAAAAGAGAATGGCAGAGCGGTATAGTTCTTACACTCCAGTTTGTTTGCTACCCAAGCATGGAACAGATTACACTGGCTCTTCTGGCCAGTTCAGTGTGTTAGAAATGTGACAGCCCTATGCTGTCCACTTGGTGGCACTGCCAGCTGGAAATTGAAACCATAGTCTCTATTCCAAGGCACCTAACACTTAAATAAATCTACTTTGTACTGAGTCACTATATATACTGAGTCATTGGTCTGCTTGGCCCAGTACTGTTTTTGCCAGCTGACATTTGAGAACATTCTCAAACCCCAGATCCTTTTAAACTGGCGATGTTGCGGATGGAACATGAGACCTTCCGTTTTCTCAAAACTGAGCTGTGGACACTGCTAAACCATGCTAGATCACATGGAATGGCCTTTGCTTGCCCAAATAGGCACTTAGGCCCCTCCTGCACTATAACCTGCAGTGTTATACGGCTTTAAATTGTCATGGCTTTCCCCCAAAGGAGCCTGGGAACTGTTGTTTGTTATGGGTGCTGTGAGTTGTCAGGAGATCTCTAATCCCCACACAGAGCTACAATTTCCAGAGTTGACTAGGGAGGGGGATTGATTGTTAAACCACTCTGTGAAGGGAATAGGGGTCTCCTCACAGCTCTCGGCACCCTTAACCAAGTAGGATGTTTTGGAGAAGAGCTATGTCTGTTTATAGTAGTATAATACTGCTTGTGGAGCCTCAAATTCAGCTCCTGGTCCTTTTCATTTTATAATTTCCGCCCCGGATAATAAAAACAGCCCATGATTTCTTTCTTTCCCCACTAATGCAACTCTAGTAGTAGTAGTAGTAGTTTGCTCTTCCCATTAAAATGAATTGTGTGGCTGTCTTGAGAGAGCTGTATCCCCATTTAGAGCTTGTGATTGCCATTATTCATATATTGCTACAGGGCTGTACAAGTACTCCTTTGCTTGAGGAGCACAGCAGAAAGCTCAGCATCTGAATTCACAAAATAAAACTGAAAAACATTAACAATGATTTGCGTGCACATATCTAATGTGGGATAATGAGTTGTTGCTCTTTACTCATTGATAACACAGGCACTAGCCAATAGGTGCCTGCCATACTCTCTCAGCCACATTCCACCCAGCACACAATGGATATTTTAGCAGGAGGAGGAAAATTGCTTAGCAATGAAATGTGTCTTAAAAGCAGGGAAGTATGCTGTGCCCATAAATAGTAGGGCTACTAGAAGTGTCTGAGTGCATGTCCCAGGTTCTTTCTTCATCCATCTTCAGGTAGGGCTTGGAGAAAGCCCTGTCTGAAATCCTGGAGAGCTGTTTCCCATCCATCTAGGCAAGACTTAACCGAGATGGACCATTGGTTCTGACTCTGTAGAAGGCAGCTTCCTATGCTCTCCATATTTGCCTACGTGGGACTGTTTTGTTCTCCTTCCGCATGAGCAAACAAGCCAGGAAGTCAGTTAGAGACACAGACACACACATTCCTTTCCAGATCAAAGCACACACAACCTGTTTTTTAACGTGCTTCCTTAATGGCATGCATAGCTAATCACAAGTACTTAAATAGAACCTAGATCTTCTCTGGAAATAAATAATGACTCATGTTCACCAACAAGAAAATAATGTTTGGATTTGTGTTGTGTCACATTAGTGTTGTAGGAAAAGAAGAGTCTAGCATGCTTTGGGAGGGAGATGGATGGGTAGAAAGTCACCAGTATCCTGCTCCTATCTGAGCCAAGAGTTACAGTAAGTTTCCCCAAAGTCTTATGGCAATATTGTGAACTTTTAAATAATAGTGGCTTCTGGGATGTATAAATATAGCTACTGTTTTTTTTAAGTTACGGGGGCAGGAACATTACACAGGACAACAATGGATTTGTTCTGGATGTAATCCAAAGTTGACCAGGGGGCGGGGTGTCCCAATTCTACAGTTCTATGATTTGCTATCTCAATACAGTGGTACCTCTAGCTGTGGACACTATCTGTTTTGGGGTGCCATTCGCACCCCGAAAAGTCCACAACTAGAGTGGAGTTTCTGTGCAAGCACAGAGCGTGATAGAGTGCTTCTGCGCATGTGTGAAGTGCGCAGAATGCTTCTGTGCATGCATGCAGGGAGAAACCCGGAAGTATACACTTCCAGGTTTGCTGCGTTCACAAGCCGAAAAGACACAACATGAACCTAACGCAACATGAGGTATGACAGTACAGCAATGAAAATGTTGCCCGGATTGGTCAGCAAGGCAGGGATGGGGAACCTGGGACTAGACTACATCTCCCATAATTACACACCAGTGGCCATGGCAGGTCAAAGATAGATACCACCCTGTATATAGTAGGTGCAGAACAGGGTTTCCCAAACTTGGGTCTCCAGCTACAACTACAGCCCTAGCTAGCAGGACCAGTGGTTAGGGATGATGGGAATTGCCATCCAAAAACAGCTGGAGACCCAAGTTTGGGAAACCCTGGTGTAAAATTAATAACCAAGTAAAGATTTCAATCTCACCTCCATATAACATCAACATTTCCCACCGTTTCACAACTTTATTTATCATATAGGTAACAGCAAGCAATGCCACATAACAACAGTTCTTGCATTGAGCTGAGTAGGTGCCGGGTGAGAGACTCGCGAATAAACAGCTGTTTGGGCTCCACCCCAGCATCAGCATCCTATTACTGAGTAAGCAATAAGGAATGGCAGGCCGTTCTGGCAGCATCTTGCAGCATGACTTAACAAATACATAACAAGCCATAGATAATGAGTGGCTGACTAATAACTCTTCCTAGTGCCCATCAACAATTTTTGTTTGCCTTTTTAAAAAGAATCAGTTAGTTTGAACAATACAAAGCCTCTGAGGCTCCATTCCCAATACAGGCTCAGTGGCTCTTCTGTTCCTCGAAAAAACAAATACTTCTGAAAAGGAAGAGCACATGTCAATCCCTCTGGGTGCATAGATCAGGGTCCCAGAAGAAAAGATGCACACCTGGTTTTGTGCAAACAAAGAGGTTTTGCACTTTCATTCTCCCTCCCACCTCCACTCCCTGTCTGCCATTCAAAGCCAAGCAAGGGTTGGGCTGTGATTTAAGGTATTTGTTTGTTTTTAAACCAAGGGTTTCTAAACCAAGGCCAAGTAGTGCTCCTAAGGCAACTTGCTTTTTGCATGTTGAAAGTTACTCTCAATCAGAACAATTAGTCAAAAGTTGCTCTTCGGAGGGTTCTTGAATTCACAAGTAAGTTGTGGCTGATGGTGCCCATTGGGGATGGAAGGCTGCGAGACCAGCAGTAGATGGAGCCTGAGCCAATGAGCACCAAATAAAATTGTCTTCCTCCTCCCCCTCCTCCCTTTGTTGAGTTCTGCAAAGCCAACACTGAAACTGAGGAGAAGGAAGCTAGCAGCCATGGAAGGAGGCGGCAGGCAGGTGGGCGCACTCAACGTTGGTGAGGCAGTGCTCCACTTGACCTGTGTCAGCCTCCGCTGTAAGTAAGATTATTGAAACAGCAAGATCACACAATAAGCAACCAAAGACAAGGAATCACAAGGAGAGGTGGAAGGGAGGGAACAGGAACCCAGCTGGCTCTTCTCTGTGGCTGAGGCTACAATGTGCAACATTTCTGCCTACTTGGTTTGAACTGGGCAGCAAGGAGCGTTTAGACAATCTTCCCTTCTTCCATTCATTACAGTCCTAAAACGAGAACCGGCACCCTTTCAGGGGGACATTTTTCAAGGCGAGACCAGTGTGAGCCCAATGGATTGGTAAGCACTGCAAAAGGGCAATGAATGACTCTCACAGGCAATGCTTAACAATGCATGAGCTGAGTTCAAAAAGGATTTGTTTTGATCTGGCTCCATTAAAAAAAAATCATGTAAGATGGTAAAGTTGTCCGTGTGCTAGGCTTGCCATATGTCAGGAACATTCCAGACATGTCCTGGTTTTCAGGTGTAAAAGTGGCAAAAATCTTGAATCTGCAAAATGTCAGGGGAAACCCGGATGTATAGCAATGCAATGGAATAAATAGCAAAAACAGCTCCAAAAGCATAAAATTGCTATTT